AAATCATCTCCCTTACACTATTGCTCCCTGTGGGCCTCAGCATCTTTGTTCTAATTGATCTGCTAATATTTTAAGGTGGGTTCTCTCTCTTCTTGAGTGTACTTGCATTTCTGCTATGCTTTCTAACCACTGCAGCTAAGCCGTGTGTTGCTGTTGTTGTTAAAATACCTTTGCTGTAATTACCCCCTGGTTCTTCCTTATATTTACCTGCTTTCTCCCTGTTTCCAAAGTAAATGCACAGACACATTGCTTAGCTAATAGGAATAAAGTAGGCGATGATGTGTGTTGCTAGGGAGCTGAGGATAATACAGAACAGATGGCTGAGCAGCCTCTTCCATGGCCATTCTTTCCATGGGACTCTGTGCTGCATCCATACCAACAGTGGTAAGTTGGAGACCCCAGATCCAGCTAACCAGAGAAGCTGTGGTGAAGCCTTAGAACAAGCCATTGATTCTCTCACTAAAGGTACTGCACAGAACTGCCATGACTGGGTCTGGCAGTGCGGCAGATGAACAAGGCTAAGAAATCACAGTGGCTTCTGTTAACACGCAAACTCAGCCAACTTCTAGGTGGCACTGTGGTAAAGTGGAACAGCCAAATACACAAATAGAAAAAAAAAGCCTTTTCTTTCACTTTTGCAATAAAATTCCACATTTTTCCTGTTCTTAAATACAAAACCTGCAAGTATCCTTTAGCTGCAAATTAAAAACTGCAAGATCACACCATCATCTAAGGAACCCATAAACAATCCTGAGTTGGAGAATGACAAGCACATGATAAGCGCCTCACTTAGGAAAGCTATTTACCTCCCTGCTGGCGTTTTATTCAAGACTAACCTTATCTGTTGATAAAGCAAGCAGACCAATTGGAGTAACATGTTATAAGAGGCAGTTCTTTTGTTTCATTGACAGGTGGAAGGGATGATCTCTTCACAGACGCAGCAGGAGAGAAAGAATGGGTGAAATATCAGTTCAGTCCAGGATCTGAAGGACCATAATCTAGAGATTATGTTGTGAATTTCAGAAAGCTACATGCCTTTCTTATTAAGGAAAGCTATCTACTGGTGTAGGGTAGAGACCAACAAACTCTACTGGTCAAGGGCAATCTTTAGAAATGTTTTGTGTTTACATTTAATAACAGTTCAACGAGGCTGAGCTGGGAAAAGAAAAGGGCCACCTAAAAAGAAAATTAGAAAATGCTTCTGCGATAATGGATTCTGATGCCTGGCAGAGTAGAATAGGTTTATCCCAGAAACAGAATAGGTTTCTGGATAGAGTGTAGAAGCTGGTACCATGGCAATATTCATTTCAGAAGCAAAGAACCATTCAGTCTGTGGGTGTGCATATTTAAGGCACAATCCTATGTATGTATAGCAGGCTGGGGAACGCTGGGAGGTGTAGGTCTTTTTTTCCTGCCTGAACATGTGTAGGATTGCACCTTCAGTTAAAGATCTGAAACTCTCAGCTACCACAGACAGAGACTGCAGGCTTTTCCATCCTGCCCAACCATTTCCCAACTCATGTAGCCTCTCCCACCAGCTCCTTCACCAACTTGTCAGCCTCTTCCTCTGTTGGTGTACATGGTTGCTGGCTGGATGGCGGCTCTGCCTGAGAGAAGTTCCAGGAGCTCCAAGGGCTCTCAAGAGGAGGGAACCCCCCACCCGCCCCGAGGCCTGCCTGCTTGAGTACAGAGAGCTTCCCCCTGGGCTGGAAGCCCAGCAGGTCTATATCTGCCAGCCTGAAACAGGGCAGCAATGACCCGTGGGGTGGGATGATGCCAAAGAGGATCACCTTTTAAGGGGGAATGCAGAGGCAAGCCCCCCCCAACTTCCCAGCTGTCTGTCTGTTGTCTGCTTTTAGAATTGGGGGGCTTGCGCCTCCTCTACAGCCCTTGTGTATGTGCACCGGAGGTACGTAGGGTATGGGAGCGGGGAGGTCCTGTGCAGGAGTCAATGTGGTGGCAGGTAGAGGAAGTTCTGGTGTTGGGTGGAGGGCTAGCCGGGTGAGGGGAATGCAGCCCAGGCCATGAACGACTGTGCCATGTTCCCACCCTCCTCATGACTGTGTGTTTGGCAGTTGCCCTCACAGCCTACCTTTGGGCCACCAGATGCTGCTTTCAAATGTCAGACTGGTGACTAATAAGGCCTCCATGATCCATAACTTAATAGTAGATGAGGTAGCCAATCTGGCATGTGCAATTGAGGCTTGGAAGAGTGAATAGGTAGGGGGTTCGTCTCCCCCAGCTCTGCTCACTGGGGTACTTTGTGCAGCCTCAAGGGAGACTGGAGGGCTGGAGAGGGGTGCAGCCATGATCTATAGGGATTCTCTTTCTCCGGGCTCCCTGTCCGACTGACACAGAGTCCAGGGTGTGTGCATCAGGCTGCTGGTCTTGGGGACATTAACATTCTGTTGAGGGCACCCTATCTGCGGCAGTTCAGAATTTAATGGTTTCTATGACAACCATATGACTGTCCCAACATGTCATTGGCTCAAAACATGTAGCAGGACACACTCTGGATTGGTGTTTTTCAGCTGGGCATGGGGATAGTGATCTGAATGTGAGGGACTGTGAATCATTCCATTTGTCATGATCAGTTCACTGCCTGCTAAGATTTAGACTAACAGTGATTTTTCCCCTCTACAGGGTGGACCTATTGAGAAAGTCCACCCATAGAGGCTGAAGGTCCAGATGGTTTCACAGGACTATTGGGGGGGGGGGGGTTCTGGAAGTTGCCAGTCCTGTCAAATCCTGGTTCAGTGTCTGGAATACAGAGGTGACACAGGCAGCTGACACAGTCACTTCTGAGTACCCCCTGTGACAGAATTCATACAGCCCCATAATAAACCCCAGAGCTGAGAGTGATGAAGTAAAACAGGAAATGACTTGAGTGCATATGAAGGAAAATTCCTAGTGGATGCTATTGAACCCTGGTATTTGCATATAGTCAAGTATACTTGGAGGCAGTGAGAGCAGCAAACAAACATTATTTCACTGCCCCTTCTTAGCGCTTTCTCTGCCATCCAGCAGAGTGCTTTGAGATTGTTCAGGGCCACATCCTGCCCACATGAACATCTCAGAGCTATTTGGGCCTTCTGCAAAATATTTGCTCGGCACCGCCAAGATAAAACCTCTTGCACCCAGCAGGGCTTAGATCCAATGTTATTTCACTTGAATCAGGCAAGATATCCAGAACACAGCCTCGTCAAGTTTTCCTGGAATAGTTCCAGCTCAAGGATGTCAGCAATATACTTGGGAAGGTTTGTGCAACCACATTGGCACTGGAACATCACCTCTCTTGGCTAATAAAACTATCAGGGAGGGAACAGATAGCTGGACCAGAGAGGTAATTAATGCATCCTTACAGGAGGACTAGACCCATGTCACCTGAAATAGGTGGTGGTGAGGCCTCTCCTGAAGAAAACCCCTTTGGATCTAGAAAATCTTAATAATTTTAAACCAGTGGCAAAAACCTTTCCCAGGCAACTTTCTTGAGTGGGTGATGACCAACCAACTCAAGGCACTCTTGGATGAGACTGATTATCTGAGTGTGTTTCAGTTAGGGTTCAGGCCTGGTTTTGTGGCATGGAAAAAACGTCGGTTGCCCTCTGTGATGACATATGCTGTCAGAGTGATAGAGCGAATGGGAGCATATTGGTACTCTCAGCAGCTTTCCAAACCATTGATCATGCTATCTTTACGGAGCTGACTTGGGAGCAGGGGCTACTGCATTGCAGTGATTCCACTTGGATGGCCAACTCCATAAGGTAGTGCTTGGACAATATTACTCAGTTCCTAGGACTGTAGAGTATGTTGTTCCTCCCACGCTATTCAGCATCTACATGATATGCTGAGTGTGATCATCCAGAGTTTTGGTGTGTACACTGATGACATGCAGCTCGAGTTTTCCTTTTCATCTTTAGCAGATGAGGCTGTAGATGTGCTAAACCAGTGTTTGACTGCAACAGTTTATTCAAGACAAGTCTGAGATGTTGTTACAGAGTGGTTCTTCTGACCAGGTGGTGGGAATTACTTCTACATAAGGAGATAATAGCCAGTTATTGGTCTGGTGGCCATGTGTGCAATATCATGGAGCTTTTAGTCAGACCACCATAGGTAGGTCTTTATAGGTAAAAAGATACACCCCAAAACCCTCAGAAGAGCAGACTCATGATAATCACCCTTTTTAATGTTATTTCTGTTCAGGCTCATTTACACAGTCAAGATTCAGACATTTTTATCTCAAGATTAGCCTGAAGGAACCTCTTTCTAGGAATGTGCATAAATAATTCCAGAGCAGCAATTCCCTGTGGTGATTATTTTGGGTCATCCACTGAATGATCATCCCTCTCCATGTGAATGTGAACTGAACCCACCAGAGAAAATAAATCTGTTATTGTTTATATGATCACTAATCCAGGCAGGAAGGGAAGGCATGTCAAGAACTCCCATCAAACTTGTGGTTTATCCTCAAACTGACTGCGACCTGCATTGCACCCATTGAATTCGAAAACAAATCCGAGACCAAAGCTGATACATGAATTTGTCTCCCATGGTAGCTGAATTTGTGGACAGGATGCTACAGTGCCAAAGGTGCACCCTGTGAACATTTCATGTGCAACATTATGTAGCTTGTTTCAGAAAAGAGGCAACTGCTTTAAATACCCTTTATATGTCCACGTTTTCTAAAAAATGCTATAGGCCTTTAAATTAAAAATATTTGCATGACTGATTTTTCAAATCTTGCAGTAAAAAGACTTGCTGAAACCGCTATGGTTGCCTGCCCTGTCTTTTCTATACAAACGGACACGCATACAGCGAATAGGTTTGATGTTTACACTCTTGGGAAATTCTGTTTCAATAACCACAAGAGGTTCCTTTGCATATGCTGAGGTGGCCACAGAGTGCAGTTCTATATCCACTGATAACTCAGCCGTTGAGGAACTCCACAGAGCCTGCTCCAAACTTCTCAGCTGTTGACAGGCTTGACTTGCTGAGAACACTGGTTAAATATAGCACGAGCGAGCTCAGCTCCACAAAGTCATTGCTCTTAGCAGCATGCAAGGAGACCAGGAGAGAGGAAACACAATCGCAGAACTTCACTGCCACAGCTTAGCACCACAGAGCAACAGTTGTGGGTGGGGGCAAAACAACGAGGACTGTTTGTACCTCCTATTTCTTCTGACTGGTATATCTCTGCACAGGAACTACGTTCCTCTTCTGCTGTTCTGTTCCCTGTTTCCTGCATTACTTCAATCACTGGTAGATCTAGAAAGAAAGAGAGAAAAGCTTCTGTCTGTGTGTTCTTCTGGGCCTGGTGGATATGCTCAGTCTTGGTCATGCAAGCTAAATTTCTGGTCTTCTAAGATCACAGAATCTCTGTGAAGTTGCACACCTAGCTCCTTTTTTACAGCTGGCAGGTAAGATTGAATTGGCTTCTCCAATGACTTTTTTCTGTGTAAGATTGTCTTTCTCTTTTCTTGTTTGCCTTTTCTTTGGATAGTTGAGAAGAGATGCACTTGAAAAAAGAGGAGAGAGAAGGATTTGCTTTTGCTTTTATCAGCGCACTTTCTCCAAGCTGTGTCTTGAACTAGCAAGACTAATTAACAGCAGTGCTCCAAAACATAACTGGAAGCATGACAGCAGATAGAACATGAAATGCTGGGGACTGCAAAGAGTCTTGCCTGTCAGAAAACACAGTAACATTGAGAGCCTTACCTGGGAGTAAATCCCACTGAACTCAGTGGGACTTGCTTCTGAGTAAACACGCCTAGGGTTGTACTGTTGAATTTGATTTCCTTTTTTCCTTTCAAGACCGACTAGGACTAACTTCATAACAGTGATACAGCTTTGTAATAACTATTATATGGTAAGCAAGTGGGAATAGATTTACTGTCATATTTTGAATTAGTTGTGTGAGTCTTGCCTGTTGCTTTGCATTTCACAGGTCTATTTTTGCATGTCTCTAAGTACTTTTGCACACCTGATACATTTTGTTCTGCCCTTTTGACAATTGCCTCACATGGTATCACAAATATCTATCCTATTAAATCACAGTTTGAATGTTTACTTCATGTGAAGAACTCCACAAGTCTGTTCTCTAGGCACTCATAAACAGGATATTTTTGGACATAGCAATGACTGAATTTGTTTTTCTTTAAGCATAAATACATCTTTACAGAGAGCAGACACTTGAACTTTTTCCCCCATGTTTGACAGAAATATTCTAAAAAAGAAACCTAGAAATAATTCTCATTGATAGTCAAACAACTGACAATGTATTGCAAATATATATTTATTTTACATGATTTTGAATAATTTGTCATATTGGATTTTGTACTTTAATCTTGTATTTTCAACTGCCTGGAAACTTGATGATAGTTTGTAAACCTAATATATACACAAGCAATAATGTTTTGCATTGCAGTTTAAAACCGATGGATTTGATAACATAGGCATGTAATCTTGTGTACAATCTATCTTTCTAAAACTAGTTAACAACAGCTTCTACAAATAAAAGCAATGGTAACTCATAGTTAGAAGAAGTATGCAAGATCTGATAAAAAATTGTTGTTTGACATTTACCTAAAATACTTTCTGTTAAAAAGATTTCTGGTATTGCAGGAATGCAGTAGCTGAATCTTGTGTCTTGTTCCCACTCAGTAAGTTTGCTCAGTGGCAGTCCTAGGAAGATGAGAGCGTGTTGATTTGGTTAAGCATTTAAATAAATTTGCTACCTCAGATTTTGATAATAAAGACAACCAATATGAATTACATTCGAGCAGGATTGTGCCCTATTATGGTTGGATTCTTTGGGCTAAGCCCTACTGAACATAGAGGGACATACATATGGCTGCATGGATATTGATGTGTATGCCCCAGTACATGTGCTCTGGATAATGCAACTTGAGTATTTCTGCAAATACCTGTTCTTTTTCAATTGGTTATGCTATCTAGTAGCAAAACAATGGACATAACAAAACAATAATGAAATACATTGATGATAGATGAAACACTAAGAACAAAATAGAGTACCACTTCCAGTATGTTGCTCTTAGAAATTAAAATCCAATGTCAGCTATAGCATTATTCCTTAAGCTGTTCAGCAACACACAGTCCACCGACTCTCTTTGTCGGGCAACTAGTCCTCCCTGTTCCTCTTGGGGATGATGACAGACACCCTTCATTTTCATCTTAATCTACCATTAAAATCTATCAACCATCATTCTCCAATGCAAGGTCAAAATTTGCATGCTTCTAGTGGAATAGTCAAGTATTCTCCATATACATGGGAATCAACCAGTATTGGCTAGTGAAATCAACAGTGAATGATTATGGTGGCAATCTCATTAACTACTAATGAGATTTTAATAGAAGACCCACAAAAATAAACTAGTGACATCTTATCCTCATACAACTAAAAAGCTCCAAAGAAAACAGAGGAAAGTTTGGGTTGTTCTTGAGCAGTTTGGATGCTAAAATTAATTTATTCCATCAGTTTCCTGGAATCATTAAAAACAACCCCAAGAATTTAATGGAAATACCAAGAAAATATGATTTGTGGAGTTAATCTTTCCAATTTGTGATACAGCTAACTTACTTTGTTTCTTCTTCCTATTGCTGATAGCTTAAACTTCGTTAGATTGTTGATGGTTTCATATTTTTTAGGTACCTGCTTTACCAATTTTTTTTTTAAATTAGGAAACTCAAGAATTTTCCAAGAGGACTTGATCAGTAATAAAGAAGTTAACTTCATAATAATCCCTGTACTTTTTTCTTTCCATTCTAAAATGCCCAAGTAGGCTAAAATCATCCATCTGAACAGGTGTCTATAAAGTAACTCTAAGGTTTTCCTATTGAATCTGTGAAATATGTAACATAGGCTGTTCAGCAGCCAGGCTCAGAGGGATCATTAATAGCTTTGGCTGGTTTTTAGAGGTTTGAAACAAGTTAAAGGGGCCCTTGGGAAGTGCTATGACTGTACAAAAAGGCATTATCTTGTCTTCTGGGCTTAAAAATATTATTTGGCATTAACTGGGTCCACCATGAAGATTTCCAATTCATGAAAAGATAGTGCTGCCCTAAACACATCTGTCTTCCATTTCTTTCATCCCTCCTTTGCTACATATTCTGATGACTTTGTGGAAGTCCCCAGAACAGCAGTTCTTCCCAGAATAGGAGGCTAACCAACAAACAGCATGATCCTACAAGCTTTCCTGGCAATAGACAGCTGCCTGTGCTGTTTGGCAGGGAAAAGGGTTGACCACAATTCCACCACTTCGCTGGGAAGATGAAGCACTGTTATTGTTATTATTAGTCACTGTTGTCATAGTTATCTTTCTATGGCATTTCTCAGGGTGATTCTAAAAAAATGGTTTCTGTGTGGGGTCCACTTATGTTTGTGAGCGTCTTGCTTGCAGACTGTAACAATGCTGCCCTGCCTTTCGGTATGCCAATTGCTGCTAGTTCTTTGCGCACAGGATTAGCATGAGTGACACAGAACAAAAATATGAACCACTTCATTTGCTCATGCTCAGCCTTTGTCACCTTTGTGTCTCCATTGCTTCTGTCCACTCGCTAAGGGAAAAATTAGATGTGGCATGAGAGATCCGTTATTAGGATCTTCTATGGGGTTCTCCTTAAGTAAATAAACAGAAAATTTCCTTCACGTCAAGCTTCGAGGAAAGCTTTTCCAAACATAGGGCCCTCCAGGTGTTTTGAACTTCTACTCTTATCAGTTCCAGTCAGTGTGGCCAATAGTTAGGAATGCTGGGAGCTGTAGTCCAAACATCTGGAAGACACCTGGTTGTTCTAGCCTAACCCAGTCTCTGTTTGTTGTTTTTCCTAATGGCAGAAAATAGTATTTTTTAAAAAAAGATCAGCATTAAAAAGAATGATTTCCATCCCCACTACAGTTTTTATGGCTATGATTAATTCAGAACTCTTGCCTATTGTATTATTTTATGATCTGAAAGATTTATACCCCACCTTTCAAAATAATGTTAAAGCAGCTTACCACCCTCCCACCTTATTCCCACTTCATCCTCCTGCCTCTACAGCCCAGTCTTCAGTAACTAGGATCTCAATTTGCTTTCTCTTGATAATTTACCTCAAGCCACTCAGAGGAAGCCAGCCATGGCAAGGATGCCAAAATCACAGCCAGTGTACTGTAGCATATGTGTGTTGGGCTGGGGAGACTGCAGCTCTAGTCCCCACTTGGCCATGAAGCTCACTGTGTGTCTTTGGGCTAGTCATTGGTTCTTAACCAAACCTACCTTACAGGGTTGTTGTGAGGATAAACTGAAGAGAAGAGGACCATGTAAGCTGCCTTGGGCTCCAGGGAAGAAAAGGTGGAATATAATTGTAACAAATAAACAATTCCATCTCAAGGCAAATCCTGCAAAAATGAAAGGGGCAGGTGCTATCCTGGCTTTCTGCATCCTCATCAGTCAGCATAAGAGAGGGCTGTTTAACCAAGAGCCCCCACAGCTGCCAGGGCAGCAGTTCCCCGAATGAAGCCACATTCCAAAAGCTCAGAGAGGAACTGTACCAGTTTCCCTCCCTCCCTCGGCAACTGTTCGCACCTGCTGACAAATGCCTGCCTCCCCATTTTAGGCAGTAAAGCACACTGTGTTGGGCAGAAGGAGGCTGCCAATAACTGGTAACTAACTGTGTGGATTCCTCTCCCTCAGGGCTGCCTTCAAAATGCTTAAGGAGCTGAATCACTTGACATCTTCCTCCTTCCCATCCATTTCCTATTCTGCTTTCCAAAGAAGGAAAACAGACGCTTCTCACCTGTGATCCTGACAGCTGACCCCCCTCTTCTATGCAGTCCCCATTTCCCACTTGGTCACTGACTCTCTGCTTCATATCCCCTCAGCTTTGTGTGTCCTTGATGCTGCTTCAAAGCTTAATGCTGTTCTGAACTGTGTCTAGTTCCAGCTGCTGCTTCCAGTTCTTCCCCCTTCCCACAGAGAAGCAGTTTCTCTCATTCCTGTCCTTGCTCCTAACATATTTGCTTGTACAGAGAGAATGCCTCATCTCCTGGAAGAAGCTTTTTCTTCAGCTGAATAACATATACATGATTCAAACTTTGCTATGATTGCTTAACTGCTATCAGTTAATCTATGGGACTGAATTTCATCATGGCTTATTTGATAGTCTTAAGGGGATTCATGTGCAATAATTATACAATGGACATGAGAGTACAGCCCCAGTGAATTCAGTGGGATGTACTTTTAAATAGACATGGCTGAGATTGTACAGAATATTTCTCTAGATTGGTACCAATCACTTATAAGATCATGGTTATCCTAACCACACATTTGGAATATTACCTATCACCTGGTAAAAACAAAAGGCATTACCTGGTAAAAGCCTCTTCCTTGAGGTTTCCTAAAACCTAATTTGCTATTAGCAT